ACCCATAGAAAAGTAAAGCAGAACACACAGGGCATCGTGATCTTGAGGTTTTAGAGTGGAGAGTAGTCCACTAATCAAGGGCCAAGAGAGCAGGTGAATCCAAAGAGTGCGGCCAAAAAGAGCCTTTGGGTTTTGGTGACACTAAGACCGTCCCATGGTGTGTGGGAGCTGGCTCCTATGAGCCCACCAGAGCCAGTTGTACATATCTCTTCCCAACTCCGTGTCCTGCTGGGAGCTTGAAATTGGCCATGTGGGAGTATGTACACACAGAAATTGGCTGATGCTGAGAATCAGGGCTTTTTTTTTTTTTTTTAAATAATTAGTTGTAAACATTTATCAGCATATTGCAGAGGCCAACAGGTTTCCAGAGTCGCAATTCTCAGACTTTTTATGTGATGACCTAGAAAGCATAGTTTATAGCTGAAACATGCATACCTGAAACACAGTTTTTAGGAACAGTGCTTAACCTTGCACGTGGGATGCATTCTGATCTCTGCCCTTCCCTTCTTGTCCATTTCATTGAAAAAGAAAAAAAAAAAAGCTGGTTATAACTCACTAAATTGATTTCATGACCTACAGTTTGAAAAACATTGTTTTAGGGCCGGCCCGGTGGCACACTGCTACAGTGCGCCGCTTGGGAGCGTGGTGGCGCTCCCGCCGAGGGTTCAGATCCCACATACAGACCGGTTCCCGCTCACTGGCTGAGCAGGGGGCGGGTGCAGCACCGAGGGTTGCGATCCCGTTGCCGGTCCCGGTCCGGTGCGGGCGCGACACTGAGGGTTGCAGTCCGTTGCCGGACACGAAAAAAGACAAAAAGGAAAAAAAAAAGAAAAAGAAAAACATTGTTTTAGAGAAAACTAGAGGTTGTATATGCATTATAAAGTCAAGAGACAATTATTTAGAAAATAAATTAGAGTAGCAGATGTGGAAATGCCAAAAGAGTGACATCTTCAGAATGGGGACTAAGTGTACATGCTTAAAGGAGAAGAGCGGTGGAGCAGAGAGAAGCCAGTGCCAACAGAGATGGGGAGAGCTGGGGCCTTGCAACCAGTTGGTGCTGGGAGAAGAGACTCATGTTTTGTTAGTGAAAGCTTGTCTTGGAGAAGATAAGCTCTCCTGAAGGATTGGGGATAAAACTGAAAACAGAGGAAGAAGCTGAAAATTGGGTGCACTCAGTGTTTTTAAAATTGCTTTTAGTCGGAAATACACATTCTCAGAGCCAGTGTTACTCTTGCAAACCAAGTGCCCACTTGTACACCTTGTTGAAGGTCATGCATCTTCTAAGAGTCAAATTGGGCCTTGAACCCTGGTGCTGACTTGTTGCAAAGCTCTTTCTTCATACTTCCCTGCAGAGGTGATAGTTAGGCTAGCCAGGCCAGGAGCAAGCTCATCACAGGCCAGCTATGTCACCCTGAGTGTTCTTGTGGCCCGGAGCCAATTTGGCAGCCACACATCATTTGCTCAGTATAAATGGCCAGTCCAAGTAAATGAGTGCCCAAACTCCACTCTGACATGTTAAACAAATTGAATGGATAGTAGTCAAGTTAGTCAACCCAGTTTCCTCTTTGAGGACAGTCTGGGGGCCTGAGGCCTGACCGAGATCTGTCTCCTCAGATGGAACAAGCCTGCCAGGAGATGCCAGTTGGTCTTGGAGAGAAGCAAGTGTCAGGCCAGAAAGGTGAAGCCAGGTTTCAGGACTTGGACAGACAGCACAGGTTGAAGTGTCGGGTGCTCCCCTGAGTGGGGTTTCTCCCTTCAAGCCAGGGAAGCCTGTGTTAATCAGACAGAGTTTGGTGGGCTGAGGCGGCTCTTGGGAAGGCAGTGGGTGTTTGCCAAGTCTAAAATTGAAGGGGTGCAGGAATGAGCAAGAGAAATCAGGGTTGGGTTGATCCTCATACTGCTGATTGAACACTTGGGTATTGTTTGTGTCATTGCCTGGTTTTAAATATGTGGGATTGTGGATTGGGAACCATTCCTTTTAAAGAGCCTCAGTGATATCTAGCACTCCCGTTGTTCATACTGCCTAGTAGACTTCATGTTCTTTTTAACAAGAAGCTTTAGGGCCGGCCCAGTGGTGCACTGCTACAGTGTGCCACTTGGGAGCGCGGCAGCGCTCCCGCCG